TCTTTGGAGCTGTTGGTATTGTTGAGGGGTCAGCAGTGCACACATCCCTAGTGGAGAACTGGCTGCTGCTAAGGAAGTTATGTGTAACAGAGCTGGGATCTACCTATATTTTATAGAGCGGCTCTTCCTTCCTTTGACACTCTATTTAATTTAAGGGATAGTCATTATCTCTGAAATCTCTGTGTCTTGCTCATGCTTGGTTGAAATTGGTCAGTGAGTTCCAGAGGCAGTAAAGGAAGGATCAGATGGGCAGACAAGGCGATTGCAGAGGACAGACTTCCTTCAGAAGCCAGGCAGTAAATGCTGAAAGGAAAACCCACATCCATTTCCCCCTCTCACAATGGTCACCTGGCATTACTGTCCACATCTCCCCCCGTTTTCCCTGGGAGCTGTGCTGCGGCTGCCATTCTACAGGTGTCTTCTCTCGCCCTGGGCCTTCAGCAGGCTCTGCGCCAAGGATAGCTCGTTTTATGGTCTGCCCACCAGCCTCCAGAGGGAGAGCTCCATACTGAAACTCCAGGGACTGCATTGCAAGTGCCCTTGGGCAGGAATAAATATTTCCATACCCGACCTTGCACACGCCCCCTGGCAGCAGAAACACTCCCACATTTCTTTAACTGCCCACTCCGCCACATGTGCATTTGCTAAAATAAACACTCCGTGACAAGTGTAATATCCTGAGTTCCTGACACACAATGAGCTCCCATGTGTGTAATCCCTGTCACAGCTCTGTCCTGTGCTGGGAGGCACCTGCACTGAAACACTGTACAGGCCTTTAGAATGGGAGATCTTTCTAGGAGTGTTATCATGAAAGGCAAGAATGAGTCAGTAGAGGCTTTCTGGCCTCTGCTGTGTCCTGCACTACAGACTGTTGACAAGGCCTTGTTGTCTCCCTGTACACTCTAGGCATCTCTTCCCATTAAAATAAGGCCAATAACATGCTTCTGGATGTTCCTCTTTCTGCTTCCTACTGTCTAGAAGAGAATGGCTCAGTTACTTGCACAGGACACCTTTGGCTAGTGAGAGATTTTCCCTTCAAGCAGGAGAAGCTCGTGACCACAGTGCTGGAGGCTGACAGTTCCATCCCGTTTTATTCTGTGTGTTCTCCATGTGCAGCATGTTCAGATGGACTGATGGATTTGATAATTTACACATTTTCCCCCAGGTGACAAGTGGGATTGGATGACAAGTGATTGATGACAAGTAGGACTTGAGGTTCTTATAATCAGGCTGCATTTCTAAAGCAAAGATGCTATTGCCAGATTACCAACAACTACTAATAATAGAGGTGCCAAAAGATGTATTTTTTAAAAAGCGTTAAACCAAATTCCTGTGATGCTGTAGGGTGCAGCTCCATCTGGGAACTGCGTCACACCAATAAACAAATGCTCTGTTTACCCCAAACAAACATGGGAACTGCAAAGGTGGCAGTTGCTGACTGCCCTCGTGACAAGTGGAAATCAGAAAAAATCCGTTTTACCACATCCATGGGTTGCATTTATTATCCAAACAGGACACTAGCTATCTGCTGCTCAGCACAACAGAAAACCAGGCAAAAGTTCTGCTTCTGAAGAGTATTTTCCTTCTGTGTTCAAAATGGCTGGAAAGCTGTGGGGATCATGAAGGCAGCCATGCAAATATCAGCTCTTGGTTTGCTGTGTGGCTCTCAGGACTGTGCCAGCATCCAGCCAAGAGTCAAAGTTTCCACATGGCACTGACAGTACAAAGAACCAGTCCTTTAACTGTATAAAGTCCAGTATGATTCAGCCATGCTGAGTTTGTATCCACTGTAAGAACACTGTGTGTCTAAAGCACCCACAGGCTGTAATAAGTTTTGGGGCTGGTTCTTTCCTGGGCCTTTCCCAGACTCTTCCTGAGCACTAGTTATTTGTCTCCTCACCAAAATGAGACAACATGACTCAGCTGCCCCCCTTGTTCTGGTACATTGTGGAGGAATTGCAGAGTAGATGTTACCTACTGAACATGCTGAAATTCCCAGGAGGAAGTGCTAAAATTACCATGCAGAAACAACACCCAAAGGATGAGGTCCTAAGTGCACTCAAACATTTAAAGCCAGAGGGGACTGTCTAGTCCAAACTGCATGTTATGAGCTGTGGAATACCATACTTGAATTGATCCCAGAAACCAGTGAGCTATTCCAGTGCACCTTCCAAAAGAGGTCTCTACTTCCCTAGGGACACAAGCACTGCCCTGATAAAAATAGCTTCTTATTCCTAACGTGAAATTATCTGGCTTCTACCAATAATTTCCAATTCTGCCTTCTCTGCGATGTGCTCTTTATGATTAAAGAGTCAGTAACTAACTTTGTCATCCAAATCTTCCCCAAACAGCAATCAGGTCTGTGAGATTCCAAATTCTGCTACTGTTCAGCAAAAGGATATATATATTTTTTTAATATATATATATATTATATATATATGTATGTATAACATATGTTTACAATTGTTGACCCCTATTGGCACTCCTCAGATTTTGCACTGAAGGATTAATCTCCAGTTTAACCTCAGTGCAGTCCCAGAAGCTCACATCTGTGTGTGATTACAGGCTTATTTATAATAGTTTTTTATACTCTCTCTAAATCAACGTGGGCATTGACAATAGTTAAGTAAACAATGTCTATAAGTAACATATGAAAACAACATAATGAAGTAGGGAAAAGGAGAGGTTTTTTTCTGAAGAAATTTAAAAAATCACTGTTGAGTAACATCCAGGCTATTTCTGACTTGTGGAACTAGAAGAATCTTGTAATTCCTGATTGAGGAGCTAAATTAGATCTGTCAGCTTTATTTGCATGCTCCATTTCACCAGACATGATCCTCTAATGATTGCAATAGTCCTGATGACATGATTTTCTCCAATATTTTTACTGTTAGAGTCAACACAGTCTGATGCCGTGATACCAAACATGCCACGTAGAGCCAGTGTTTTCAATCACTGCAGTAGCCTCTAAGCAAGGAAGTTTCTGCCTGACAAATGGGCTGAAGTTGTTCCACACTTGTATACAATTACTTTGTATGAAGAGTCCTTCTGAAAAACGTGTTGTTGTTATTAAGAACAGCAGTACAGAATGCTGTTCCCCCACATGCTGCAGAGGTACTGTACTGGTAAAATAAACCACATACAAATTGCCAGGTCAAGGGGTGCTATTTCATGTATGCAGCATATATTTATCATTAAAAGTAATAGTTATAGGGAGTTTCCATTGTGTAAATATTGTTCTTCGGAGAAAGGGTGATTGGGCATTGGAATGGGCTGCCCAGGGAGGTGGTGGAGTCACTGTCGGTGGAGGTGTTTAAGGAAAGACTGGACATGGCACTTACTGCCATGGTCTAGTTGACAAGGTGATGTTAGGTCTTAGGCCGGACTCGATGATATCAAAAGTCTTTTTTAACCTAGTTGGTTCTGTGGTTCTGTAAAATACGTAGCTTTGGTTTCTGAGGCATCAGACAACTCCAGACATATTTGGGTTTCATCTCCTATTTGTCATTGACTGTTCTCAGTCTGAAGGCAGCAGCATCACTTTTTCCTTTTTCAGGTTTCATTTCACTGCATTTCAGTGGAAGGCGCACCCAATTCTGCTGTATTTCCCACACCCTCCTTGTAGCGGACGGGAGAACCTTCTTTCCAGTTCCTCTGTCCCTGCAGGTGTGATCAGAGCATGAGCTGCCCCTCAGGGACACGTTTTTTGTTTTGTTTTTTTTTTTTCCCCTGCCATCACACTTTTCTCATCACGTGCCACGCAGGGTTTGGTGAGGGTTGTCTCAGCAGTTACTGCGTTTTTAACCCGCTCTCTGAAGGCGCCGGCGGGGAACACCAAGAGCTGCAGGGCGGGGGCGGCTGAGGCGAAACCGCCGTGCACGCCGGGAGTTGTAGTCCGCCGCGACGCTGGGAGCGCCGGGCGGCCGCGGGGCACGCTGGGAATTGTAGTCTGAGGGCGCGGCGGGGCGGGGCAGCCTCTCCTCCCCCACCGCCCCCACGTGACGGTGTCGCGGCTGCGGCGGGGCCGCGCGCGCGCCCGCGATGGAGATCGGGCCCCACGCGGGGCGCGCGGAGAGCAGGTGGGGCCGCGGGGGCGGGACGCGCGCGGGGGGCGCGAGTGTCCCCGGGACACGGCCCCGCGTTGGGCGCCCGCGGGAGGCGGGACACGGGCGTGGGGGTGCGGGTGTCCTGGCGGCGCGGCCCGCGTGGGTGCCCGTGGGGAGCGCGTGGCACCGGGGGCGGGTGTGAGTGTCCCGCGTTGGAACCCGCGGGAGGCATGACACGGGGTGCGGGTGTGGTGGGCGGTGTCAGTGCGCGTGTGCGCTGGCACCGGGGGCGGCAGGGTCCTGTGTGTGCACGCGTGGGTCAGTAACGAGTTATGTAGGACGCGGCGGGGAGCGCGGGATGTGCGTGCGGGAGCACGGGTGGCTGCAGGGCCGGCGCGCGCGTGGTGCTTGGGAAGCACCGGGGATGCGCTGGGGGTGCCCCCGGCGAGCTCCCGTCCTGCGTGGGTGTGTGTGAGTGTGTGTGCACACCCAGCGCCAGCGCACGGGTGCGGAGGTACCTGGGAGCGGTCTGGGAAGGAACAGACCCCTTGGGATGGGTGGGATTGGTGCTTGCAGCGTCCCCGGTGGGAGGAAGCACACGGTGAATGGGCTGTCAGAGCAGAGTGTGGCTGCCATCACCCACGCTGGGCCAGAGTATGTTTGCCACTGGAGGGACAGTGATGGCCACAGACGCGTGCCCTCGGTACCTGATGCTCTGCACTGTGGTCCCCATCAGTCCTGGCCAGGACAGCAGCTGCCGGGCCTCTCTCCTTTGGACGCCTTGAGCCTAAGGGTGAAACCAGCCCACCCTCACACTGCACTGCCGCTGCTCTGGTGGCTCTGCAGCTCGCTGATCTGGGATCCTATCTCCTTACCCTCCTGGCAGTCAGCTGCACCACCTCTTCCATGTGCTGAACAGAAGTCTCCGAAGGCGAGGTCCTGTGCCTGCACCACCCCTGTGGCTGGGAGTGAGCATGGCCACAGTGACCTCGCCTGCCTGCATGGTCCTCATTTGTGCTTCAGGCCTGGTTCTCCTTGTTAGCATTTGTAAGAGCAGCAGAGGTTGTTTCCTGGAGGTGTTTTGATGACAAGTCTATTTACTTCAGGTTTTTGCATGTGCTTTGGTTTTGCTCCTGTGCTCACAAGCACAGGATGAGTGTTGGACGGACATTGGGAGTGTTGCCTGGGGAAGAAGGAGCAGCTGAAACTTGATATGGGAGAGAAGCATTCCTTATCTGAGGGGCTCAGCTATTCCTGCTTGCCATATCAGCTGGGAAAATGCTACCGGTGCCTTTAAAGCTATAGCACAGGTTTGGGGTGCCTTTGGATTTACACAGTTGGAGCTGTTCTCACTCTTTACTAATGCTTCAGACCCAGCAGGCTCTGAAAGGCGAAAGGAATTGACTGCATTCACCGCTTTGTCTTTCCAGACTTATCTTTGTGCATTTTCATGCCTTTGCAAGTGCAAGGCCTGCACCACCAGACTCTACCATGTCATGACTAATAGAGCTTAGGTGTTACCACCCCCAGCACCCCCCAGGGACAAGGAGGGTATCAACTCCACGGTGCTGGCACATGTGGGGGCCTGCTTGTTCTCCTGGATGGCACTGATGCCCTGGGGAGGATCCCACGTGGGCCTTGCACTGCCTTGTCCTTTGTACGGTGGGTTTTGTGTTTTTGTTCCCGGTGAGGTGTCATTTCACACTGGATTGTGGCTGTGACTGATAGCAATAGAATAGAGGTCACTGGATCCATCTTCCCATGGATCACAGGAAACGCAGAAGCAAAAGTTATTCTGCTGAAGTCCATCCTCCTGCCAGCATGGGAGAGGAAAATGAGGATCTCGTGCTGGGTTTTTCCTCCTAAGCAGCAGGTCTGAACTGCATCAGGTAGCAGGGGCTGTAACACCCGTGTCCATGTGGGCACTGCAGGAAGGTTAGTGCTGTCCTGCCAGGCACATAGCAGGGCTCTCAGGGTGGTGGGCAGGTGGTGCAGAGGATACAGCAGTCCCAGGGAGAGCAGGGATGGTCAGCTGGGCAGTTTGGCAGAGAGCTGCTGCCTTCAGCTCTGGCACCAGCAAGGCCCCCAGGGACAGCAGGGCCAGAGGAGAGGGTCCCTAAAGGGAACCTGTGCTAGATGAGCAGCTGGTCCCAGGGAGGTGGCTGCCATGGGGATCTGCTCTGCCTGTCTCTGCCTCTGGCTGCCTGCGTGCTTGTCACAGATGAGTCTTGTGCAGATCAAAGCCTGATGGACAGTGTCCTGGGTCTAGAGGTTGTGGTCACCTGCTTGTGAGAGGCTTAGCCAGGATGAGCAGGTAAAGTTATCTGCCTTGAAAAGGTTAAAAAACACCTTTAATTCCTCTTTTCTTCCCTCATCCTTTGCCAGTGCAGAGCAAGAGTGTGTCAGCATGGGCTGTGTTTGCTAGGGGACCTATCTTGGTTGTGCCTCCCATTCTGTATCCATGCAAGCTTTTAGTACAGGGCAAGCCACCCTGTGTGCCCCTTTTCCAGCCAGCCTGCTTGGCTGTCCCTGCCTGGCACTGCGGGGCTGACCTGCTGGGCTGGCAGAGCTCATCTGGCTTCCCCTGCCTCGTCAGCCACTCCCTGTGACTGCAGATGAATTGCACGAAGCCTGGCTTTCTTTTAATCCCTTTTCCCAGCAGTGCTGAGCCTGCTGGAGGAGCAGGCGGGGGAGCCCAGGGAAGGGGCTGCTGGTTGTCTGGGAGATCCGGGGACGACGAGGCGGGAGCAGGCTCTGCGCAGCGGCGGGTTACGTGGAGTCTTGGGTTTCTGCAGGAGGAACTGACAGCCAGCACAGGAATGTCCTTGGAGATTTGTCAGAAGTCCCTCCATGACCTCGGCATCCTCAGCTCGACCTCTTCAGTATGCTAAGAAGGATCGAGGGAGTCCTCCAGGTAGAGGTCAGGATTCAAGCAGCCATTGCTTGGTGCCTCCTGCAGAGCGCAGGAAACACACAGCAGATGTTGTTTGCAAGAAGGATGAGCTTCATTTCTATTTTCTATTTTTGAATGCTACCTGTGTGATTCTGTTTTGGAAAGTAATTAGGGCTTGGTTTTATTTTAAATGAAGAAGTCCACCTGAGTCAGCACCATGGCTCCCTGCCTCTGCTGTGAGTCACCTTTGCTGACTTGGACCAAGAGAAGTTCCTACCCTTGCTGGCACGGAGGGGCTGAGAAAGCCTTGAGGAAAGCAAGCAGCATTCCCTATTGATGTCAGCAGCAGTGGCATTAAGCCATTTCTTGTTCCAAGGCTGGATTCTGTCTTTTATCACTCCAGTGCAAAAGGTTAAGTTATATTTGGGACAGTTCCTGACAGCAGGTTGATGTTGCTGTACCTGAAGATGGGGTTTGTGGTGGTAAGGAAAGGAGGCCCAGAGCCAAGTTTATGAAGCAGGTGGTTAAAATTGGAGGCTGGATCAGAGGTTGTCTTTAAGGGAGGAGAGGGATGTGGTTGAGGTCTCACCAGTGCTCCACCATCCATGGCACCTGCACGCACCCTTGGTCCTTCTGGCAGGGGGAACCAGGCTCTGCTGAAACAGGAGATCAGAAGCATGTGTGGTTCTTGCAGGGAAGGCTCTGCTTGTGTACTGTGACCCTCTGGGGTGTGTTTCTCACTTTGCCCTTACTGTAAATAAGGGTGCATGATATGATATGACTTGGCCTTACCCCATGTCAGGCTTTCTATAGCACTAGCAAAGGAGAACTCTCCTTCTTCAGGAAAAAATAAGCAGATTTCATAGTAGTGCTCTGAACACCTGCTGAAATGGGGAACTGGAGGGCAGCTGGGATTTGAGCTTTCTCCGTTCCTTCTGGCAGATGAAGCCCAGGCTCTGTCAGTGGGAGGGGAGCAAACCCTACAGGGTTAGCCAGTGAGTCTGGTCAAAAATGAAATGAGGTTAGCTGTGCTCTCTCAATTTCCCTGCCACCTGCACCCAACTATATGGGTCTTCATTTCTTCAACCTTGTGTCACTGTGTGCTTTCCAGCATTTTCCAGCCCAGAAACAGCTAGGGTTTGGGTATCAGAAGGGTCTTGTGTGTCCAGCTTCTGAACTGCTTTGGGCCAACAAGTCCCATAGGATACTTACTGTCCTACAAGGATTTAATTCACTTTTCGTAACTTCTACATCACCTCTGCAAAGGTGCTTTCATTGTGCCATTCATTCCCTAAGTGCTTCTGTGTTCAGTGTTTTAACACTTTGAGGTTATTTTGTTTGAGGATTGCTTAGCCTTAGTTACCCTGTGCTGGGAGGGAGCCCTAACTCCACTCTGTTGGCTCCTGGTTTGCTACATCTTGAGAGATGCACAACTCTTCTAATGAGACTGTTCATTTGGAAAGGCACATCTCTACATATGCTGCCCTCACATCCTTGTGTGCATTTCTTGCTTTATATAGCATGAAACAACATGAGAGGGAGTTCCCCTGACTCACTGATTTGGAATATCAACAGTGTGGCTGAGCTTTCACTTGCATTTCCTAGCTCTTGAGTGTTGAAATATCTTAGGGAGGAGCTGGTTTTGATCTCCCTGGCTGCAGATGCTCTTTGACCAGGAACTGGCAGTGCCTCTCTGGGCATCCGTAGACAAAGAGCATCTGCAGCCCGCAGGGTGGGGATGGGAAAAGCCCATAAATTCAGAAAGGCTGGATCTTTTCTTTTGTCTCCCTGAATCCTATCTCCTTCAGGAAACTGCCTTTGATTTGTATCTGTGCATTTTTCTTCAGTCTCTCCTGAGATAAAGCCCTGACTGTGCCTCTAAGTCTAAGTACATCATGAACAAAAAGGTACATCGATTGCTCTGGTTTAGAACTCCGGTGCTGGCGGGGCAACAGGCTTTGCTGGTGGGATGGGTTGGCTTCTGTGTGGTTTAAGCTTAGGTGGGTGCTGAAAGTGGTGAGATTTCCCTGAAGAGGAAGGGGAAATGATGGGGGTCTTGGAGTAGAGCCAATATTTGATGATCTGCTTGTTCAACTGATCAGTTTGGCAGTAGTGAACTAGTCTCGAAAAGAGGTTATTGGTGAGGAAAGCTTTGTTTTTAATACCAGAAGTATGTGGCCCACACTTTTATCCCCCAGGGATGAAAATGAGAGCAGCTTTAAATAATGTTATTTATTTTAATTTTTTTCCTTTTTTTTTTCCCTTTTGTTTTGGAAATCCACTTTGGTTTTGCTGTGGAAGGGATTAACAGCTGAAACACTGGGTTATTTCTTGCCAGTTGAAAGGCTGGATTTTCATTCTAAGGTGTCAGCTTGGGTGCCTTTGTTACAAACCCTGCAGAAGCATACTATTTTGATATTTACACTCCTAACTATACCTTGCAACACTGCTGTTGCTTCTTGAGAGAGTGGCTCCTGTTTGAATATGTGTTTTTGACAGCTGCTGTTCCTCTGGCAACAGTGTCAAGCAGCTTGAGTGGGGACCTCAGTCATACAAAGCTTTCTTCCCCAAAGCTGCTTTTGCATATGCAAATGGCATTACCTCTCTGCACCATCGCTCCTGCTTTGTGGTAGATAATGGTGCTTTCTTGCTGTATGCTGGGTAGCTGAGGGGGATGATATTGATGAAATGCTGTGCACGCTCCAGAGTACACCAGCAGTTTGCTGATCTCTGTCCAGAACGTGGTGAATGCTTCTGCAAGAAAGTCGACTTGTGCCTGCAGCAGCTCGGGGCCCAGAGAGCAGCTCCAGAGGGAGAGATGCAGATGCAGTGTTACCTCCCTGGGGGTGGAGCAGGGCTGGAGTGCTCGATGCAGTGTGTGTTTCTCAGCCACTCTGTAAACACAGGTGTAGAGGGGCCAGTCTCTGCTAGATCTGGTGGACATCATGCCCTCCCTCAGAGCTGCAACTCCCGAGGGGCTGCTGCTCTCGGCAGTCCCTGATAGAGAGAGCATGTGAGTGAAGCAAGTGAGAGGCTGGCTGGGAAGGTGTCCTCCAGCTTTGTTGGCCATACTAAGCAAGTGGTATATTGCAGGAACCAATGTCTTGGTTCAGTCTTTGCTCAGTCTTTGTTCTGGCTGTCTCCTGAGACCACATTGGTGGTGGCTACCAGTCCTCAGAAGAATCATTACGATACGGCCTGTTGTCCACAAACCATGTTGACCACAGGGAGTAGTAAAGTTCTTTAGTTCACCTTTGCTGGCTTCTGGACCACTGAAGGTTTCAGCCTGACCAGAGTCTCCTTGGAAAGAGTGCAAGACCATGTTCCTGTTATGAAGCTCCTCTTGCTGTATCTCTTGATGTGTCTTGCTGTGTTCCTCTGCAGGAAGGAGCATTGGAAGCTGCTTGGCAACTTGAAGACCACAGTGGAAGGTTTGGTGTCCATCAGTAACCCAAATGTCTGGTCCAAGTATGGGGGCTTGGAACGGCTCTGCAGAGACATGCACAGCATCCTCTACCATGGGCTCATCCACGACAAGGTAGGACTCTGTCCTGCCAGCATGGCTGTCTATCTGTCTGTCTGTAGCAGCTTTGGTGCCTGTCACTAGCACGTGGGGCAGTCCTGTCTGCTGCAGCTCACTTCTGTTCTCATAGCATAGAGTGGCTACAGTGCTTGTAGCAGTGTGGGAAATGGTCCAAGCAGCAACTGAGCTTGCCTGGCAAGTGCTGTGGTTGTCAGAGAGACCTGGGTGCATGTTGTTTCTATCTCATCTACCTTCAATATGGTTTTTCTAAGTACTTGTGCCCCCTCTACTGAGGCCACTCCTCTCTCCTTTCCTCCTGCTGTAGCCAAACAATTAAATTGCATTTGCAGTGAGTCAGCCCCGTATCATCTGCGCTTGGACAAGTCCCCAGTGAGGTCTGGCAAGAGAAACCTCATGTCTTTACTGTTTCTGGTTAGCTGTGTTAGTAACAGGAGCTGGCAGCCAAACCCGCGCCCTGCGTGAATGGGATCACTCTTTCCAGGCTCTTGTTGTGCCTGCAGTTGCTCACCCAGCCTTTACCCCTTTCATGGCTGCCTGGAAGAATTTCTCTTTCCCAGTTGTGTGCAGAGGCCGGAAGATCTCCCTTTCAGCTTGCAATTAGCAGCACAATTAACTTACAGGGGAAAGCTGAAGAAAGGCTGCAGGGGATGCCCAGGGACAGGCTTCCCATCGGTGGCTCTGCCACACTGAGAGAAGAGAGCCATGCAGAGGAGCTCCAGGCAGCTTGCATGGGCCAGCTGGGTTCAGGGTCAGGACAACTGAATCTGTACAGTGCTGCACCCAAGCTAATAAACCTCCAGGAAGAGCCAGGCTGGCAGGTTGTCCCACCAGGGAGCTTTGCTTGCTGGATTCATTAAGTTTGCAGCCAGCACTCGTTATGGTGCTGCTCTGCTCCTGTTAGGCCCCAGTGGTGTGGACCAGGGACCTTTGGGAGATCATCAGAGAGAGAAGCTACCTTTTCTATGTGAGGAGTGCAGTGCTCCCTTCTGATAGATTTGCTGTTAATGGGCTTCAGGAAGTGAATGATTTATACATGTCTGATATTGGTAACAGTTCACGCCAATCATGGAAAGCAGGATGGTGTGTTACTTTCCTTAATGCTTTTACATTTACAGCTCTTCCACTCAGGAATGTCTGCCCTGCTTAGGCATGTGTGACACCAGTCAAGCTTTCAGAGATGCAAAGGGAGGCTTCCTAACAGCAGTTTTCTCATAGTTGCTCCAGCAAAACATTTCCTTTCACTCATTATTTTCTTGGCAACTTTTTTGCTTACAACTAGGAATAAAAGGAAAAGGTGAAAAAATCCCTATGTAGATGTTGAGAGAACTGGGGTTAGACGTTTTTAAACTTTTGGTTGAATGTATTTGTCCAGAAAGCCCTATTCAGTCCAGAGAACTAAAATTGCTGGATTAGTTTTGTAGTCTTAAAAAAACCAAGCTACTCCCCCCCTGCTGCCAAACCAAATAAACCACAAAGCAGAAGCCATTCCTCTGTCACTTGTGAAAGAGGAAATAGAGATGGAAGTAAAATAATCAGCTTTTTGTTGAAGAGAGATTTTTTGGGTCTGTGTTTACACCCGATAGGGTGCTGAGGAAAACAGCAACTCTGCTACAGTTCCTCTCTAAAGGGAAGAATAACTAAGAAGAAAAAAACTTCATTGTTTGAATAAAACTGAGGCAGGCAGCACATCCTCTCATGGCAGCAAGGGGCTAATGGGGAATGTTGTCATTTAACTGGGACTTGGGATGTGGTACCTAACTGTCCCTGTCCCGGGCAGGTGTGCTGCAGACAGAAGGATTACTGGCAGTTTGTGAAGGACATTCGCTGGCTGAGTCCCAGCTCTGCTCATCACCTGGAGAAGGTGGGTTCTGGTGGGGTGGCCTGGTGTGCCCAGAGGGAGGGGAGGGGGCAGCTGGGCTGTGAGCCTCACCAGTGGGGTAGTGGTGCCTTGACTGTTGTGGGTAAAGTGGCTCCAGGGCTTGTGGAGGCTGAAGCAGCCGTGTGTTTGGGTACAAGCCGTGTCCTGGGAACTCAGTGTGGCTTGGGCTGAGACAATCATCTGCTTATTTCCCCCAGGCCAGTCTCCAGCTCGGCTGGGCCGGGTGCAGCGGGCATCACCAAGGGAACTGGCACAAGCAGTGCTTGTGTGTAAGCAGGGGTGATTCATGCATCTGTGCAAACCTCTAACGGTCTGGGCTGTCCCGTTTCTGGGTTGTGGCTTCACCATGCATTTACTTTCCCATTCCTGGCTTCTGGCAACCACTGGCACATAGGGATGCTCCTGGTGTTTGGCTGCCCCATGCTGACATCCATGAGCCCTGCCATGGGTGAGCACAAAGGACTGACCACTGGTAGTCCATAGCCCCCGTGTCCAGCCTGCTGCTGGGGGGATGTGGGGTGTGACTCCAGTCCAGCTCTTCAAGCTGCAGCAGCTCAGGCATTGTCATAACCTTCTGGAGTTAATGTGTCAGCAAGAACATGACCGTCACCACTGGGGTCAGGTTGGATTTAGGAGTTCCTCCAGGGGTTCCTCCAGGTCAGAGGCAAAACACATGGGTGGGAGAGTGTGCAGGAGAAATTCGTTGTGCTGGTGGCTGTCGGAGGACTTTGGTCACTAGCTGACCTTTGAAACGTTGTTCCTGCCTGGTGCTTTTGCCTCCCTGGTGGCTGGGGAGCTGCTGGGACATGTCCTCCTTCCCGTTGACGGTGACAAAGCTGCTGTTATCAAGAGGACCAAAGCCATGTGGTGGAACAAGCCCTGCTCACCTGCTTGCCTCTGCATGCCTTAACCTGTGCCTGATGTCCCTTTCCAGTTCATCAGCCTGCAGGAGAGTGACCAGCGTGACCCAGAGGGCTCAGGAGACCAGGCCATCGCGCAGCTGTGGCTGCAGCACAGCCTGCAGTGCCACTGCCTGTCGGCACAGCTGAGGCCGCTCCTGGGGAACCGGCAGTACATCAGGAAGTTCTATGCAGGTAAAGAGCAGCGGGCCTTTTCCTTCTTATTAGGAAAATATCTAGTTGGTGGTGGTTCCAAGCTGTGGGGGGTGAGAGGGAACAGCAGAAAAGTTGGTTTGCATGTGAGCAACCGGTGTGTCAAAGCACGTGGGTGAGAGGGACTCCCCCGAGCAGCATTTTTCTCTCCCCAGACACTGCCTTCCTGCTCAGTGACGCCCACGTCACGGCCATGCTGCAGTGCCTGGAAGCTGTTGAACAGAACAACCCCAGGCTTCTGGCTCAGATCGACACCTCCATGGTGAGTTGAGGTCACAATTTTACATCTGACTCTCCCCAGGTGCTGACTGGCTGTGGCTGCTCCTGAAAGGTCACATTCAGGGCACAAAGAGCCCTCGGACAAGGGGCTGGACTTGGAAGTAGCAAAAGTTGCTCCAAGATGGGAGGAGAGCAGGGAACTGGTGTTTGTGCTGCCTGTGTGACCTGGCAGGGGTCACGGTGGGCGGGATGGTTGTGTGGGGCCTGTAGTGGGGAACCTTGGTTGAGGCTGGCTTCCAGGGTTTGAGTAGAGGACCTGAGGACCAGTTCCTTGTAAGAGGCACCTCTAAAGCCCTCTCCAACGGTCCCAGGCTTCAGGGCCAGCATGCAGAGCTGCCTGGTCATGAGGGACAGTCACCCTCTGAGGGGATGGGCAATGCCCCAGGACACCTGGGTGTCCACTCCTGCTGATTATACCAGAGACCCCCTGTACAGCCCTGCGCCAGCTGCCCCTCTCCAGAGGAGGGGAACAGCAGCTGCTTTCTTTGCACAGAGCTCCCCAGAGGAGAGCAATTAGTGAGGCTCTGTTAAATGGGGGCTGTGTTCTTTCAGCTGGCCGGAACGTCACTGCCATCCCTGTGCGCGTCAGACCCTTCTGCTGAGACAAGAGAGATGTGTGACCACAACGCTGAAGGACACGAGAGCCATCTGCCTGGAGTACTGGGCTGCCTGGATCATTTCACTGAGAGCATGGTAATTTCCCAACAGGAGCCTGTCCTGTAGCTGCTAACTAAGACCCGCTTCCCTTCTGTGCTGCTGTGTTTTTCCCTCCCCATCCTCCTGTGCCCAGGGCTGCTGCATTCTTTGCTGGCTGGTGACCAGGCACTCGCAGGTCGATCCCTTTGTGTTGCTGCTCCTTTGACATGTAGCTCCATAGATGCTGATTTATTAATGATTCCACTTCTCTTCAGCTTACCAGGAGGAGTGACAATCTGTCTCCAGTGACCAAGAGTCAGAGCCTGACAGCCCTCCCTGGGTCCCCGTACGTCCCCACTGCTGGCTGCACCCAGCCGCGCTGCTTTGGGTCCTCCTCCAGCCTCCACCATCCAGCCTCCTCTGGCCTCTCTGGTATTAAGGGTGGGCTGGGGAGCTCAGGGTAGACACAGAAAAGACTTTACCTTTTTATCAGCTCTTCATTGTGGTGGATGTGTGTGAGGAGATCTCTGCCTATGATGGGAGGGAGATCCCCGGCCTTTGCCTGTGGTGGGTGGGTGTGCTGGTCTGCTTGTGCCAGAGTGTGTGACATCATGCTCCTGCCTCTGTCCAGACAGGAGACCAGCGAGCTCCTTTGTCAGCTCCAACTCCAGCCAGCCCCAGGAGCGCTGCCTGTCCGCTCGGTCCTCCTCCTTCAGCGAGGGCAGGTCCACTCTGGAGCAGCCTGGCTCTGTCACCCAGACCCCCTCACCCAAAGACCCCTTCTCTCCAGCCAGCGAGATGAGTTCCAGCACCACCAGCCAGAGCGAGGATACTTGGACAGGGAGTCAGGATGATCCGCAGAGTGATGTTAATGATGGGCCGGAATACCTGGCCATCGGGAACTTGGGACGCCGGGGCCGGGCATGCAGCAGTGCCAGCACCAACAGCTCCAAGAGCAGTAGCTCCAAACTCTTCTCCTCCAGCAGCTCCCAGAAGCTGGACTCAGTATCATCCCTGGGGGAGCAGGGGGCAAGCGGAGGTGGAAGCAGGGGCCTGAGCCTGTTGCGACGGTCCAGCTTCTCGGAGGGACAGTCGTCAGCTCCACAGGGCATCCTCAAGAAGAGCCACGTGCGCTCACACTCCGACACCAACGTGACTTCGGGGAAGTTGCACGGTAATGGGACAGCTTTTCTGGGATGGCTTTTGGGTGTGGGAGTCCCTGGTACCAGGAGGCTGATACTGGCTACCCCTTTGACTCCATAGCTCAGACTGGGGAGAGGAGCAGTGGACAAATGGTTGGGAAATTTGGTCTTTTCCCTTAGCTTACCTGCTCCACACTGGAACGATGGGCTGACATATTCCTTTCCAGAATGTCCTGGACCAGACTGTTACTGGTATGGGCAGCTTTTACCAAAAAAATCTTAGAAAATGGCAGCGGTGCTGTGGCATTAGCTGTCCTGCTTCCTCACTGGCCTTGCTGGGCTGGGGCATGGGGCCATGGCAAGGCACTGGGGTGGGGCCTGGGCTCATCCTACTAGTAGGATGTCATACCACTGGTAACCTGCCGGGTCCTCCTGTGCTCCTAGCGGGTGAATGCATGGGGACGCAGGGAGCGGGATGTGAGGGAACAAACAGTTGAGGGATTCTGTTCCACCAGAACATGGGATAAGTGGAGGACCTTGCTGAGTAGTAACCAGTCTGTCTATGTTTTTTCTCTCTTAATGCTGCCCTTCTCCTCCTCTGTCTACCCAGGAGGCCTCAGGGATATCACCATTATAATAGAAGATCCAGTGGCAGGTTTGGGAGCCAGTATAACAGCCCTTCATTGGTGATCATTACATCAAGTTCAGGATTGCCATCAAACCATTAGTGTCCATTTAGAAAACCAAAAAAATTCTTTCTTTGCTGTGTCTCAGCTGATGCTTTGAAGTGTGGTCAGGTTTATGCATGTGACTTGACTGAAGATCCCAGCTTGGGTTTTGGGAGCAGTGGACCAGACCCAGAAGTGTGCCTGCAGTTCCCCTGCATGGCATTAGGGAGTGCTGGCCACCGAGTCCCTGAGCTGCATCCCCTGCCCTTCCCTCCACCCACTGCCTTGGGAGCCAGGAGAGGTTTCATCTCTCACCTATGAAATAAGGGCTGGCAGCTAAACAGGCAGGGGCTTGAACATCTTATTTTCCCTTTGATTTAGCGGATCTGTGGCACAGGGGCGTTTTGATGTTGGCTGAGTTCCAGCTGTGTATGCACCCACAACTGGGACTCCCAGATGCTCTTCTGGACTCAGGGCAGGTTTTCCCCTAAGCAAAGGTGCTGGGTGCTGACATCCCTGTGACCCCCATGCAGAAAGAGTCAGCAGCTCAAAAAAAATGGGCTGTTTCGTTTTGCATCTGTTGAGCAGTGGCACTGGGTTTGTCAAGTTCACATCTGGGTGCCAAGGGTTCTGTGGCTAGGAAGGGTCCTCCCTGGGGGTTGCGGGCACTCAGATGTGTCCAACCCTATGTCCTAGTCTAGCAGATGATGCCTCGCTTTACCCTTCAGCAGTAGGTTCTGTTGTATGTAGCATCCCCCCGGCATCCATCCCATGAGGTGGTTTCTGTGTTGAGGGGGCTGCAGAACACCCTCCAGGCTGCAGCGAAAAGCTGTGAGAGCCTCCCACCCTGACAGGTCTCCTTTGTCTCCCAGCCTGTGGGATGGGTTGATTCCAGGCCCCATCTGGGTGACTGCTGCTTCAGGGTCTTGGCAGGGAGAGGCTGGTGTTGGTGGGATCAGGAGCCTCCGTCCACCTCAGAATTACAGCACAAATCTGAGAATGAAAATGAATAGGAGGTTGAGAGGACAGGGTTACCCTTCTGTTGTGCTCAGGATGTCAGCTGGGACCTGCCCCATATCCAGAGCTGTTTGTTCCTGTCCCATTTCAGTCAGGGTGTTTTTAGTCTCCTTCAGCAGTCCTCTGTCACCCAGCTGCTCTGTCCAGGTGCTCCCTGGGGCCGTGGCTCTCCGTAGGGCACCATCTGTTCTTGGTCTCCATTCAGGCCAGCTCCTGGCAGTCTCTGCCGGCTCAGTCTGGCAGGGAGTTGCACCACAGTGTGTGCGTGGGCCAGAGCCCTGCCCACAGCCCGTGTAAGTCACCTTGAGCACTGCATCTGGGGGTTGTGTGCAGGAAACCCTGGCTTGTCCTTCAGGTGCCCCCTTACACTGGTGTCCAGGCTGTTTTGCAGGGCTGGGAGACCCACAGATCTGTCAACTACTAGATGAGGTTTCCCCTCATCTCCTCTCCTGACTCTGTGTTCTGGGGGTTAACTCTTCCCTCAGAGATGTTCCAGCAGGAAGAAGGGGCTGGCAAGAGGCACTTGCTGGAGCCTATTGTGTCCCCCAGCTCTAGTCGGGGCTAAAGAGAGGAAGGCTCAGGACTCGACTGCTCCATGGCTCTCATGAGCTTCTCTCCTTCCTTCCCCTTCTCTAATGCCTGAAATGCCCTTCTAGTTTTGCCCCCTCCTGGGCTTGCCCTCAGCTGTGGCATGGAGCAGGAAGATGTCTCTCCTTGTTTCTATCCATTTGTGCCTCCGTGTGTGATGCCAAGCCTGTTTCATTTCACCCTGTCCAATGGCTGGATGCCTCTGGGATACTGAGGTGTGCCTGGTGTCATCTTCCCTTCCAGAGTCCCATGGTGATCCAACTGGAGGGAGAGGGCCGGTCTCTGCTTCCACCCAGAGCAGTGAACTGAGCACACCCAGCTCCCTCTACATGGAGTATGGTGAGTACAGCCAGCCTTAGTGGGGACACTCGCTCCTGGTCAGGCTCCTCCATCAGCTGTGGTGGCCTCAGCTGCTGGCACCTGCTTGTGGGATGCTGGCTCGGCTTGGTAGCATGGAGATAGCAGCAGGTCCTTCCCTCATGCCTTTGTCTCTTGCTTTTCTAGACTCTGGACAGTATCTGAGCTCAGGGGAAGGGATGTTCAGGAGACCCTCGGAAGGACAGTCCCTCATCAGCTACCTCTCTGAGCAGGACTTTGGCAGCTGTGCAGACCTGGAGAAGGTGAGGGAAGCAGCAGCAGCCTATGTGCATTAGAGAATGTATCTTTCTGCAGGTTCAGGTATACTTCACTCTGTGGGGAGGATAATGCCATGGTATTTTCTGCTGTAGAGCTGTGCACAGAACTTCAAAGTTGAGCTCCTTGGTGGTGTCTGGAAGCCAGGATCTGCCTGTCCAGCATATACACAACATCTTTTCAAGATGTTAGGGCTCCTCAGGGCCCACGTACTGACCCCCAGAGTGGATGTGTTGCACATCTTCTTTGTAGGATGCCTCTTGTGTTTTGTGAGTATTCTGGTGCCCAAGAAGGCTTTAATTTCTAGGTCCTCATAGAAGTCATATTTTGTGGGATTGACAGGGATTAAGGTCTTTCAACCACCATCCATGAGTAATAAGCTCTTTCCTGTCATAGGTGGGGAAGATTTTATGAAGTCTTCCTAGTTTGTCCACAGTATAGCCTTGAATGCTTTTGCTCTTGCCTTGCAGGAGAATGCCCACTTCAGCATCTCAGAGTCCCTGATCGCTGCCATTGAGCTGATGAAATGCAACATGATGAGCCGGCAGCTGGAGGAGGAGGAGGAGGAAGACAGTGACAAGGAGATCCAGGAGCTTAAACAAAAGATTCGCATTCGGCGCCAGCAGATCCGCACGAGTCGGTTCCCTGCCTGCCAGGAAATGGGCTCAGACAGTGGGTGATGTGTTTGGGGCTTATCAGCTGGTGGGATTCGGGTTTTCTGTCTGTTACCTATCCTAAGCATCCTGTCTTCCTGCCCATTCCTGGGAAACAGTCATATTGCTACCAAGGTGGTGCAGAGATTTGTGAAACTGCTGTTATTGAAGGCCACATGGGACCCATACTGCACATTGATAACACTTTTGTGCTGGGGGGACTGAGTTATGGAATGTAATCTCATTTTGAACCCCTAGCATTTTCCATCCTTGAGCTCCATCCCTCCCTTCCCTGGCTGTACCTTGCTATCCCCTTCTACCGTAGCAGTCAGTGACCCTCCAGACTGCTTCTATTGATGACCTGCCTGTGATGCATTTCTCCCAGGTCTTGTGGCAACAGACAGCGGGTCCCAGTTCAGCTCCCACGGCTCCATGCGGCTCTCTGACTCTGGCTCTGCAGAGGATGTGGAGGAGTACGAGATCCGAGGTAGGAGGGAATGGCTGTGTTGGCTTCTTGCATAGAGATGGATTTCTCCTCGGTGTGATTGTATTGAGATCAGTCCCACTGAAGAAGAGCATGTCCCTCTGGCCTTCGAGATGGCTTTTCCCAAGCAGATGGCTGAGCTGAGTATAAGCAGAGCAACCAGTTTCCCTCATGTGGTGGCATGACTTTCCTTCGAAACCCCCTGTAACCCTGTAGCATTTCTTGCCTCTGGCTGGTAGGTGGTTTCCATCTCATTGCCTGGTCCACGTAGTGGCTGTCACAACTAGAGAGAGGTGGGAGAGCTGCCATCCTGCTCTTCTCCTCCCCGGGGAAAAGGAACCATAGCTCTGACCACTTACCTCTTGGGTGGGGGGTGCTGGTAACATCCTGACCTGTAGTCTCTGCTCCTGACAGCTTGGGTGGCTGAGCTTATCACCGACAGGACACATGTCTGTGTCCCTGGGTATCCTTTTCCTTCAGAGCCATGTTTCATCCTCCGAGGTGGATGACTTACTTCTCAGCAGTACTTCCATCTTTAAAAAGAAGATGGAGCAGTCCAGTCTCCAGCTTTAAACTTCTCGTCCCTTGACTATAAACAGCAAGCCCCTCCTTACAGTCCATGAGGGTGAAGTTTTGGGTGAGGTTTTGAAGCCCACGGAAGGGTGTGCAAATTCAGTTCTGGGCCTTCCTCGTGCGAGCGCTGCTCTTGTATTGTGCCCTTTCTCTTTGGCCTGGCCTAAGCACTGAAGTCAACTGTTTTGTCATCACCATGTTATACAGATGGTAACGATGGATCTAACCTGATTCAAATGTCCAAGAACGGCCTCTCAGTGTCAATGGCTTCCTTGTTCTCAGGTACCCTGCAGTGCTCCCTGCAGCACGCTTGTGTGTGTGTGTGTGTGCGAGGTCTGTGTGTGTGTGCACATGCACACTTCCCAGAAATCTGCCTGGTTTTGGAACTGTGAGTTAGTTCCAGTATCATCCAGACATCAGCAAGCATAGCTGTGGCAGGATTGAGCAGAGAGGAGGCAGAGGATCAGTGTCGTGGGCTCCATCCCCCAGAGCATTTTGCTGTGCAGTATTTTGGATGTATCAAAGGTGTTTGCTGCAGTGAAGACCTGTCTTGCCTGGGGTAGGGCTTGGCAGGTTGATGGCACAGCTTTGTGGCTCTGTAGGTGCTGAAGTCTGAGCCTGAGCTGGATGAGAGCAGAGTCCTTTCCAGTGTGAGACCAGGTCTCCATCCCAGGTGCCTTGGGGAGCATTATCTTGCTTGAGTTGGCAGAGCTGGTGTGCCATAGCTCTAATATGAACCACTGCCAGCCCCTCCCACTCTGCTCAGACTCGACTTGGAGTGGAATCCTTCCAGATGGAAAAGAAGTCCTGGAGGGAAAAGCAGTGAGATCAGACAGGGCACAGGCAGTTTGTTCATGCTGGAGGCCCTGGGCACTGGGATCACATGCAGGCAGGTCTAGCTTAATGTTTCTATTGTTTACGGTTCTACTAGGTTATCCTTCTGGTCTGCTGGCCACATTAAATACCCTTCATGTGCTCCCTGTTTGCTTTAGCAAGGGAACAGCCTGCTAGGCTGTTGCTGATCTCTCGTGTCGGGTGTTTGGCACCAGCACATTGCTTCTGATGGAGATGCTGGTGCTCAGAGCTTCCCGGTCAGCCCTGCTGTGTTCACAGAGCAGGGCTTTAATCTAGTGGGGCTCATGCTGGCCTGAAGCAGGCATATGGGGTCTAGGGTGATGTCCTTGGGTTTAGGGGCTGTAGGGGCTGTTCACAAGCCTCCTGAAGACTATCCTACCTGGTGATAACATTGGCAGCAGAGATGTTTTGTGCAGCTAACGAGGCTTTTGGGGAGTGTCTGCAGTTAATGTTGGGAAGCCAGTGGTGGCAGAATTCCAGTGCTAGCTCCTGCGGGAGCCTAAGGTCAGATTTGGCTCCCTCTCATCCCTGAGACATGTCAGTGCCTGAGTGCAATGGCTCTGCCTCCCTGTAACACCTGGCCCACACTGTGCTGCGTGTGCCCTGCTGTTGGCTCATGTTCGTCACAGTCTAGGACCATGTGGCACCTTTCTGCACAGAGCAGGAGGCACCAGAGCATGGCAGGTGTGTCTGGCTGGTGCTCTACATGGTCAGTAGGCTGTTTTCCTGAATTCCCTGTTTTCTGCACTAGAATTCTGTTTGCATGATGTAGATATACAGATTCCTTAGCACATTAGGATGCTTCCCTGTGCCTGTTCTAGCAATGGATGTCAAACCTTGAGGGTCAGGCATCCATGCTGAATTCCAGAAGTGTGAGCCTGTAAATTTGCAGGAGTTGCTTCCCTTGTTGCCAGGGCAGCCCTGCTCTTTGTAGGGAAGCTGGGGTGGGTTGGCACTCTTTGCTCGGCCAGGCTGTGATTCCCTTGGCCTCAGTGTGCAGTTGGTGCCTGGCTGGGATCATGTGGACTCTGTGCAGGTTTGTGTTAGTCGACCTGTTTGGGGTAGAGGAGCAGGGACCCTGAGCTGTGCCTCCTCATGCCAGGCATGGGGACGGGGGAAGCTGCAGGGTTGTGTTTGGGGGTGGTATGGTCACTTCAGACCATTCCTAGAGCTCCCCAGAGGTACAAAACAGGAGACCTGCTGGGCTGAAGGCTGTGGCATTGGCCTCTCCTCTGTCCTGACCTGTAATACTTTCCCCTTGCATGCCCTCTTCCTTTTTTCTGGGAGTCTATCTGCAATGAAGCAGGGATTCTGCCTGCCTTTGCCTGTAGTGTGCTACTCGATGTCTCCTGTCCCAGGGTTCTTCCACTCTTGAGATGAATCCCCTGTCTTTCACACCTGCTGGAGTGAAAGAAAGATGAGTGGTGAAGCTACTGCTGAGTACCCAAGGCTGCAGGGCAGCCCAGGGCTGTTTGGGAGCTGATGGAGGAGTGGAGGGAGCAGGACCTCAGTGTCCCTCACCTCTTCATGGACCCCTCTCTTCTCAGGAGGTGGGTCTGTGGCCTCTGCAGAGGGCTGGCCCCATGGCTGCTGGCTGCTCTCTGCAGGGATGCTGGCATGTCTGTGGAGCGCTGGGCACAGGCTGCCAGCCCTGGCTGTGCAGTCACTGACAAGCTGTGGTACAGCCACTGTCTGATCTTAGAGTTTTGCAGTCAAGTAGAGAAAAGGGCACTGCATCCCATTGCTAATCACCTCCAGCATCTGTACTGTCTGTAGAGAGCTACTAACCCTTCTTGCTAACCTTGCAGTCCTGCCCTCCAAGCTCCTGTGTGTGCTCTTTTTCAGGCCGTGTCACTGCTAGGACTTGGTGTGTGACCTGTACCAGCAGCCGCTTGTCTCCCCCAACCCCCAGGCTGGCTGTTTTTACAGCATCCCACCATACCTTTCCCTTGTAACTCTGACAGCTGACTGATTAGACTGCACCCCTCCTTGCTCCTCAGTGCCACTGGTAGAAGTTGATGCTGTAGTTCACATGCTTTTCACACCTGGATGAGTTTTACCTTGAAGCTTTGGTTTGAAGTGAGTGTATTGCCCTGCCCTGCCCCATCTCTTCCACCTTGTCTGTTTTTGATTCAGATGCAGACATCAAGAGGAACCCAGACTCCAGGAAGTCCTTTCTCTCCTCGGACTCCATGTACGTCTTCAACGCATGGTGACACATCTTGGTACCAAGTTGTCCTTCCTGGCTAACTTTGCTCTTCCATGTGCATCAGTTGCTGCTTTGCACTGGAGTAGACATCCTTCCTTCCCTCCCTTTACTTAGCAGTTGAGCACTGGGTCCTAGTCTTAAATCTGGGAAGCAGTACCTGGGGATCATCAGGATATTCACATGAGGTAGATATGATATGGACTGGTGTCAGGAGAGATGCCCATACCTCCTAGTAGGTAAGAGTCTGGTGACAACTTGGAGCATCTGGACTGGCTGCTGGCTTGCTGCTGGCTCTCAGCCTCCCCTGCCTCTCCCTCTCAGCTGGGACAGCCTGTTAGACTTCATGGTGCTGCCACCTTCTCTCTAACCCTCACTGCTGTGCTGTGACTCAAAGGGGGAACTGGGGACAGCTGCAAAGACAGAAATCAATCACACATATCAATTTTAAGCCTGTGTAGCAGTGCAGAAATAAGGAACCAGAGTGGAAGGGAGCATCTATATGGCTTGAGCTGGGTCTGGCACTGGGGGCTGGGAGGAGAGCACAGCTGTCAGACCCAGTACTAACCACTCTCTTTTCTGTCTAGATCCTACTCCTTCCTCAATTCCAACTCAGCAGAGGCCGTGGCCATGGGCTTACTAAAGCAGTTTGAGGGCATGCAGCTGCCAGCTGCCTCTGAGTTGGAGTGGCTAGTCCCCGAGCACGATGCCCCACAGAAGGTAAGGCTGTGAGTCACTGTCACCAATTGCATTTGATCTTCCCTGAACCCTTGGCTTCACCCAACTGCTGAGGGGCTTTGCTTATCCAGTGATCCCTTTCTGGAACTGGAAGAGGGAGTTTACCTGGGCTCTGGAGGTGGGTGCATCCAATCAGGGCTCTGCCACAGCAGCCTCCTGCATCAGAGTGCTGGGGTCCCTGGGGACAGCCCTTCTCCAGCCCCTTTTCAGCTGGAGCAGCAGTTTGGTGCCGGGCAGTTTTCCAGAGGGCTGCACTTGCAGGTTACTGGCAGTCCAGCCAGATGTACTGCCTTTGCAATACCAGACAGGGATCTGACCCTTTTGCCTGCCTCTCACAGCTCCTGCCCATCCCTGACTCTCTGCCTATCTCTCCTGACGATGGAGAACACGCTGACATCTACAAACTGAGGATTCGGGTGCGCGGAAACCTGGAGTGGGCCCCGCCGCGACCACAGATCATCTTCAACGTTCACCCAGCGCCAACGTAAGGACCCCTGTTGCTGGGGCCTCCCCAGGGACCTGCCCTTTCCAACCTTTTTCCATCAACACCAACGTTGCTTATCCTCTCCCTCCCACTTGACTAATGGGGATTCCCTGCTCTGAGCCTGGTAAATCCACAGTGGTCACCACTGTGGGATGGTGAGATGGAGCCAGTGCCTGCAGTCGGTGTGGACCAGGATACAATAGGGCTTTTCCCACTGGATTTATTGTCCACACAAACATCCCAGACCTGTGCCAGTGCCCATCTTCTGGTGCCAGGTGCCATCAGGGCTGGGCTCATGCATGTTGTCTTCTGTCCCTGGGCAGGAGGAAGGTGGCTGTGGCCAAGCAGAATTTCCGGTGTGCAGGCTGTGGCATCCGGACTGATCCTGGTGAGTGCTGGGGGCCTGACCCGTAGCTGGAGAGTGGGGAAGAACCTGTGAACAAGTGGGAAGATGCTGAGTGGGTGGGTGGTGGTGGAGCTCAGCACAAGGTCGCTGGGGCAGCTCTGCCTGCACTTTGATGTGCACCATCCACAGAGGAGCCTCCATCTCCAGAAGGTCAAGGGCTGGTGGAGGGAAAGTGCAGCCAGCCTGTCCTTTGGGGGACATTTCAGATGTTGACTGTTGTATGGCAAAGTCCTCTATTGGGGTCCTCAAGCTCCCAGAAGGTTCTGCTGTGGGTACAACTGCAGTGTTCTTCCCTAAATGTGTAGGTAGATGTGGCTGCATGAGGCTGGACCATGGTCCTTCTGCAGTCAGAGGGGTGCTTGCAGACCCCCATGCTGAGCACTCTGGGGTGGAGGAGATAGCAGCAAGGCAGAATGCCTTGCTTGTTGGAAATGCCTGTTGGAAATTCTGAGCAACACTGGGAGTCCAGTGTGTGGCTGGGCAGAGCCCGTGCCTGGGCTGACCTCGCTGTGTGCCTGGTTTGGGCAGATTACATCAAGCGGCTGCGGTACTGCGAGTACCTGGGGAAGTATTTCTGCCAGTGCTGCCACGAGAACGCCCAGACGGTCATCCCCAGCCGCATCCTGCGCAAGTGGGACTTCAGCAAGTACTATGTGAGCAACTTCTCCAAAGACCTGCTGAGCAAGATCTGGAGTGACCCACTCTTCAATGTGCAGGATATCAATCCTGCCCTGTACCGGAAAGTGAAGGCTCTCAACCAAGTGTGGGTAAGACCCTTTCCATGCCTTCCTGAGTAGGGTTTGGGTGAGGTGGGTGGCTGCCAACTGGCTGCCAATATTTGAGAGAAGCTGGTGAGAAGCAGATACTTTGGTTTTTGAGGTTTAAAACCTCATCACTGTGTCTTTCCATTCGCCTCGTCTTCCTTCTTCAGTAACGCAGGAATTTCAAAAGGAATTTTTGGCTGGTATCCAGCTGGGCTTCAGTTTATCTCCTGGAGCACAATGACAATGATTGTGCTTGCCTTGCCCTATGTGGTGTAAACACTTTGGGAACAGGGGAGCAGCAGCTGAGGAGCAGCAGTTGTTTCACCAACATGGGGAATGGGACAGACCTGCTCGGCCAAGGACTGTGCTAGTTACTGATTCTTTGTCCCCACTTCCTCTCCAGCTGCTGCGAATCCAGCTTTTCCACATGAAGAACATGTTCAAGACGTGCCGACTAGCTAAAGAGTGAGTACTGGGCTGTGAGATGAGGCTGTTTTGCTCTCCTGGTTCTGTCCTGGGGCACTTTGCACTGGGAATCTGTGCAACCTGTGCAATGAGCAGCAGGGAGAGACGGGAGTGGAGGGGGAGAGAAAGCAGGAGTGGAGAGGGAGGGCTTAGTGGAGCCGCTTTATTCTGAGCTCTGGTTTCTCTTTCCTTGCAGCCTCCTGGACTCCTTTGACACAGTGCCTGGCCACTTGACAGAGGATCTGCACCTCTACTCGCTGAGTGACCTCAGTGCCACGAAGAAAGGGGACCTGGTGCCTCGCCTGACAGAGCTCCTGAAGGCAGGCAGCCTGCACGTTGACAAGTGCATGGTAAGGCCTCCCTCACCTGCCTCCTGCCCAGCTCTGCACCCTCGGGAGCACCCTTGGGAGAAGGGTTTGCTGCAGAGATAACTGAAGGGGAGGCTTTGATGGGCAGGGCAGCCATCAAATGAACTGATTCAATGCTAACTGTTCCTGCCTGCTCCATAGACCTCCTATGCAGAACGTTTGGGATATTTGTTACCCACCCCTGACACACATAGATTCTGCTTTCCTGTGCTCCAGGCTGGTGAAGGGCTGTCCCACGTGGTTAGAGCAGGGCACTCTTGTCCTGCTCTGCTCTACCTCCTGCCCTGGTTGCCAGGGAGATGAGGAGGATTTAGCTGTTTTTTCCTCATCTTTTTTCCTTGCAGCTGTGCCAAGCCAAAGGCTTCATCTGCGAGTTCTGCCAGAACGAGGATGACATCATCTTCCCCTTTGAGCTCAACAAGTGCAGGACTTGTGAAGGTGAGATACTGGGGAGGAAGAGGGAGGAGACAGACCCTGGAGCCACCAAGGTCTGCCTCCAGTTTGAGTGGCATTTATGCTAGCAAGAGGTACAGAGCCATAGCCAGCCAGCCAGCCAGAGTGCCTCTGTGCATGGCCTCTGTCTACAACATGTTATGACAGCAGCAGATCAGCTTTGTAACAGTGGTTGGCCAGAGCTGCTGGCGTGGTGGAGCGTGTAGGTCCCCTCCTGACCACGCTGTGTGCTGCCTGCCCTGGCAGCAGCAGGCGTTCGGGCTGTGACTGCAGCAAGTGGGTGTCTGGGAGTCCTGGCTTCCCTTCTGCTGTGGTTATGGGACAGGCTGCAGCCTGCACGCAGCTCCCCTGCAGCTGCTTGGATGGCTGGAGCTGACCTTGCAGAGCAGAGAGAGCCTGAAGGCTTTGTCTCTGTGTCCTTCCTGCCTGCCATGAAATCCCCAGACCCCTTCAGAAGTCATCCTTGATACTGCCCAGTACTAATATTTGAGTAGCGCTTGTCCCTGCAGCTTGGGACCAGTCTCTGAACTGGCTTAAAATGGCTCCTGACAACATGCAAGTAGGTGCAGTGCCAGGGAAAACTTGGGCCAAAGTCACTGTTTCCTTGGAGTTCAGGAAAGTTTGGGGAGGGACCTTGTGCAGAGCTTCTGTGCTCCCAAAAGCTTTGCAGCTGGTCCAGGGACTTGCAGTGTGGAGTGTCAGGCAGTCTGTCTACCTCTACCAGCTCTCAGCCATGCTCTCCCCCCCCCAGAGTGCAAAGCCTGCTACCACAAATCCTGCTTCAAATCCACGCACTGTCCCCGCTGTGAGCGCCTTCAAGCCCGGAGAGAGCTGATGGCCAAGCAGAGCATGGAGTCCTACATCTCAGACTACGAAGATGAGCTGGAGCAGCCGGAGGCAGTGGCAGCCACATGAACAAGTTGCAGCCAAGGAGTGTATTGTGGGTTTATTTATGTGCGTGGCCTTCGTCACCAGAGCCTGAGCCACGTGGAGATAAGGACTATTGGGAGGACTGGAGCACTGTCTTGAAGGGATCTGTTTTCCCCCATGCAGTAGTGCTGTGCTGGGAAAAGGGCACATTCCATCGTCCAGATCTGCTCCAGGTACTGCTCATACTCCCTGATGCCTTTGCTTGGGGAAAGGCAGCTGCTCCTGCCTGTCCTGCAGGCAGAACAGAGACTTTTTCCAAGCAGTTGTTCATGGTGGACAAGGCAGCGCTGTGGTGCCTGTCTCCGTGCCCTGCTCTGAGCCCAGCAGGGTCCCCTGAAGGGTCAGCACTTTCTGTTCATCACTTTCTGTTCATCTATACACCCAGAAGCTCTGGTCCACATCTGCTCCTTGGAGGAGGGAATCAACTCTCCGAGTTCTCTGATCCTCTGTTCTGCTGCTGGGGCTTGTGTGAATGGAGGAAGGATGGGGGGTTGGTTGTACGTTTAACAGCTCCCTTTCTGAAAGCTGGTGTGGGACACTGGTGGAGAGTTGCTGTCACTCAAGGATCAGAGCAGAGGAGGTGGCAATGATGAAAACACCAGACTTCCCTGCCCCCTGCCTACAGCCTGTGCTGCAGTGGGACATTGCTCCTGGAGCAGCCACCCAAGGGGACTGGTGCTGACAGGCTTTTGGCAGGCAGATCCCCATGGCTCTATTAGAATCTGCCTCCATGGGATACAGGCTTCCAACCTACTTTGTCCTCATGCTGCCAGTCTGTCCTCCGTGGGGGGACATGTCCTCTTCTAAGGGTGACATGGGACCTCGCTCTGGTGGCACCAGGTCCTGCCTTGTGTGCAGCTGCCTTCTGCCCGAGACCTGTTGGGATGCAGGTGAAGGCCCAGTCCTCCAGCCGCATCCCCTGAGCCTCTGTCTCGGTTTGTTCTTTTAGGTTGGGTTTTTGTTTTTTAATCTGTTGGATTTGGTTTTATTTTTTTAATGTGGTTGTTTGTATTTTTAACTGTGTGTTCCCCTGCAAGGAGGTGCTGCTTGAAACACCTCCTTAAGGGGCTTGCGATCTGCTTGTAGCTCACCAGTATAAATTCTCCAGGGCTGTCCTGCTCCTGGTTTCTCACCCTTGGATGGAGCTGGCATTTGCCAGGTGTCCCCTCTCCCAGCAGACATCCTCCTCCCCTTGAGAGAGGGGTCCCTGAGCCAAGCAAAGCCTCCAAGCTTCCCGGCTGTGGTGCAGCGGGGTGACCAGGCAGGCTGCTTGCAGTGGGGGTGCATGGGGGGAGAGGGGTTTGGCACTGGGATGCTGCAAAGGGTTGGTCCCTCGCTGATGCAGAGCTGCCTGCCGTGACTGACAGCTCTACAGGGTCAGACCCAGAGGTACAAGGTGAGCTCTGTGCCCTGGGGTTTGCGGTCAGTCAAGGAGGTGCCTCTGCAGTGCAGTGACTGCTTTAGACCGTGGCACAGGTGAGTGTCCAGGACCACCCTGGCATGGGTGGGATGTGGAGTGTTTGGAAGGACAGTGTGGCCTGTGTACGTGCAAGAAGGGTGTTGAGGGACTGGGGAGCAACGCACTGGCAGGAGGCATTGAGGGGCAGTGGCTCTTTCAGTGTGTGCCCTGACTCGAGGCTGGGATATGACCCCTTGTGGGCTCTTCCTGTGGGGGTGGCAGGGTTGGGGAGAGGGGAAGAGGCTGGGACTAGGAGAGGTGGCTGCAGGGCTTGGTCAGGGAGGGTGGCTGCAAGCCTTGCTGCTGGGGGCCAGGCTGCTGCACAGCAGCATCTCTCCCCTGTCTGCAGCATCCTGACAAAGTCCCGGAAACAGGGTTCAGACCCCACTTGCTCCCCTGGGGTTTTTGCCGCCTTGTGTCTTGTGTCTGCTTGTTTTCCCCAGTGGAGCAGCTGCTCTTCTGTTCACTCTATCTCTGCAAGCCCTGGGGCTACCAGATGCTGGTCTGCCTTACTCTTGCCTGTCCCCAACCCCAAGCCAAGCCTTCCTGCTGCTGCCCGGAGCTGGCACCCCCTTCCCTGGAGCTGCCTCAGCAGCACACCTCCATTCACCCTATTTTGTTTGAAGCACTTTATTGTCATGGGACTGCAGCTGAGTGGCTGCCTGCATCCCTTTCTAGAAGCACTGAGTACATTTAGAGAAGAGGGAAGGAATTCTGGCTTAGTTATGGTTTCCACCCTCCGCCATGGACTGTGTCTGGAAGCAGCAGGACTTGCAAACCTGGCAGAGGTCTCCAGGGCAAGACTGTGCCCAGCACTGACTGCTACAACTAACACTGGGCCTGGCCAAGGCAGTGAGCTCGGGGGACTGCCCCAGCCGTCAGCTGGAGCCTTCCCCATGGGATTACTGTTGCACAGCATAGCAATTAAAATGCCGTCCTTAATAAACTAAGTTAATAAGGGGTTCAGTTGTGTTGTGACATTTCAGGTGGGGTAATGGTGTGTATCCCACTTTGAATTCATGGGGCAGGCAGGGAGTGCTGCTGATGGCAGGGAGCAGTGGGGGGGACAGCTGGTGCAGCTGGTGATGCATCCCCAGATGTCACTGGGAGGGGGTTATTGTCACCGCCCCTTGGCTAATTCATCTGGTTTGTGGCCTCTTCCTGCAAACTGCCCACTGGACTTTGGGCAGGAGGTACAAGCCACTGCATGAGGGGCTGTCTGTAACGCCTGTTCCCTTCCTGAGCCTGCCTTTACTGCTGGCAGAGGGGCCCAGGGGCATGGCCTTGGCTGCTCTGTCCCTGCTCGCATCCCCATTCCATGCAGCAGTGTTGTGCATCGCCCCATAAACACCATCAACACAGGTGATAGAAACTGTAAACTTTAAAACAACTGTTAAAAGATGCATCTGCCACCCAGCTCAGCACTGGCTCCACCACAAGCCACTTTCTGAGGGCTTTTGCCCCAGAAAAACCCTGCTCAGCTGAAATCTAAGCTGTGGTTAGCAGCAGCAATGGTGACCTGGACTATCCTGAGCGTGGTGGTTGTAGAAAAGGTTTTTGACAGTCCAGGCATGCTGAGCATGGGCTCTCACAGCTTCCAGGAGAGCACTCCAGCAGCTGTCCCAGCATGGCAGCTCGAGCAGGGGGTGGTGGCAGAGAAGAGACATGGGGCTTGATGCTGTTACAGCGAGCCCTCCAACAGCACCCGGGGTGATCCCTGCCCCGGGTAATCTCTGCAGGGTGGCACCTTGGCAAAGGCACATCTGCCCCAGCACAGAGGGGCACGAGCCCTCTCAAGGCACGCTCTGCCTGTCACTGGGAGTGTGTGGGGGCGTAGCGACGCTCAAACTGGTCCACGTCAAACTTGCGCTTGCAGCCGGCGTAGTTCATGTAGCGGATCTTCCCAAAGATGGCCCGCTCTGCCCAGCCCTGGTCGTGTATTCCACAGATAGACCACAGGCAGCCTGCCAGGCATGGGGATGGAGCGTCAGCTCTTCCCCTTGCTCGGAGGCACATGGAGAACAAGTCGGATGTGGGTGCAAAGCAGGATGGGCTGGAGTATGGGTTGGGCCGCCTGCAGAGAGCCCCTGCCCTGCCCTCCCCACTGCTGCAGCCTTGGTCATCACAGATAAGACCCCCCCACCCTCTGCCCCCATCCTGCAGCTTGCCTACGTATCCGTTGGGGTCCCTCCCATCCAGCTCGTAGCGGTCATTAAGGTAGATGGCAAACTTCAGGGCCTCCTCAGGGGAGCGAGTCCACTCCAGGATCTTCTTGGCCCAGTACATCCGCAGGAAGCCGTGCATCTTCCCCTCCCGGACCATTTGGAGCTGGGGGGATAGGGACAGCCGTAGGGGTCAGCCTGTGCCAGGTCACTTCTGCCCCTTGGTAAAAAGCTCAGCAGTTTGTGGGGAAGATGTAGGGCAGTACCTGGGCAGCATTCCAGAGTGGGTCGTGTGTGGTCCCCTGCTCCAGCTCCTGCAGACTGTAGATATAAGGCCTCTTGTCTTTGGCGTGGAGTTTCAGGGTAGTTTGTGCCCAGTCGTAGGCACCTGTGAGCAAGAGATGAGGAGCAATACTGAGCAACCTGCCACTGCAGGGTACCAAGGAAGAGATGGGAGAGCTGGGCTCTTGAAGGCACCAGTCTTGAGGGCACCTGCCTCCAGAAGGGGCCAAATGATGGGACATTAGTGCCCCCACAGCCCTCCTCCTAGCAGAAATAGGACTGCCAAGTTGGAGTGACCAGTTGGGTACCAGCCTGGCCCCCAGCACTGCCCACATGACCTGATGCTACCCTGCACACTGTCGTAGTTCTCATTGTAGTAGCAGAAGTTTTCAGCCAGCTCCCGCCGCACCACGGCCTCCTCCACGAACGCATCCACCGACTCCTTGTACTTGCGCCGGTGCTTCTGCACCTCCAGGATGACTCGCTGGGTGGAAACCTGGCCTGGGGACATGGGGAAGGAGCAAGTCAGGCTGCCAGTCCAAGACACCCTGCTCAGTCCTACTGCAGAGTGGAAAGCCTGGGACACTCACCAAAGTGGAACCATGGGGACAGGTTGCTGAGAGCTGCTTTGTTGGGGTCGTTCCGGTGGGAGCCAAAGGATTTCAGTCGCTCTGTGATGAAGGATTTCAGCACATCCAGCCCTGCAGCTGTGCCAGGGGTTGCCCAGTCCACCTCCTTCACGGTGTGGTCCACCTGCAAGCTGGAATAACAGGCCTCCCAAGCAATGGGCTGGGCGGCGACTGAGCAGTGAGTGCATTTGCAGATGCTTTTCAGCCAGGACTGTCCCAGAATGTTATGTCCCCTGGATGTCCCCAACCAGCAAGTCCCCAGCCCATGCTAGCCGCCTCCTCTTAACTAGCCCTCTGCATGGCGGAGATGTTGGAATTGAATGAATGAGGTGGGAACCTCCCCTTCCCCAGGGCATCCCCATTTCTACACCATCTGTGTGTGACCTCAGGCAGGTTACTGTCCCCACCCCCTGCCAACCCCTCCCAGGATCACAAAGCAGCTGTGAAACACGCTGGGACAGGTTGTGAATGGGTTTGGAGGTGTCTCCTGCTGGTACCTCTGCTGGGCAGGACGGGGGATATGGGTGACGAACAACAGGGGGGAACTCAGTGAGGAACTCAGGGAGCTGAGCGTGGATCTTGCCCCGGATGGTCCTGGCGCTGTATTCCTGCTTGGGGGAGGCAACCCAGCAGGGCACGATGTTGTGGGCATCAACCTGGGAAGCAAAGCCATGGAGGCAGTGTGACACGAAGCAAATGGTCCCAAATGACATGACACATATGCTCTCTGCTCAAGTCACTCCAGTGCAGAAAACACAGGAGACAAGTTTCTCCCACATCTCACCATCAAGAATTTTCCCTTCCCAGAGTGCTGACACCCACCTGTGCAAATGGCACATCCTCTGGCAACTGTTCCCTGACGTCCTCCACCCACTGCCGGGGGAGGCGGAGGGGACTGAAGTCTGTCACCAGCCCACCCACACCACGCTCCACCACAAACGCAGGCAGCACGTCCTTGGGGTAGCCCAGCAGCAAGTGGAAGGAGATGTTCAGCTCTGCACACTCCTACAGCGACAGGGAAAGGGCTACGGGACAGTTCATAGCTCTGCAGACCCCAGCCAACCACCATCCGCCAAAGGGATGGATCTGCCTCCCCCTTCCCCAGAAGCCCTGTCCCACCCAGCAGGGACAACCCCTGGCTGTACCTCGGCCACCTCCTGCAGGCCTCTCAGCATGAAATCGTAGTGCCGGATGGTGGCCTCCAGGAATTTGGGCACCAGGCAGAAGCAGATGTGCAGGGGCAGCTCCTGTTTGAGGGCCAGGCGCTGGGCGTAGAGGAAAGCCCAGTTATCTGGGGAGAAATCACACAGGGCAGTGCCAGGAGGATGCTTCACTGAAGACATGGGGATGGGGTTTCACAAGAAGTTTCTCCTCAGACACCCCTGCAGAGGGGGGCCAGGTCCAAGGCCTACCAGGGGAAGGGACCAGAGCCATGGGAGCTCTGCTTCCCGGCCCCTTCTGCCAGCTGGTTCGTACCTTGTACCCGCTGATCCCGGCACATCCAGTAAAGGATGCACCGAGCATTATCCTTCAGGTCCGAGCCCTGCGAGACGAGGCGAACCCGCTTTTTGTTGTACTTGAACTCTCGCACGGACGGGGCCGCCCTCCGCCGGGCCTCCTGCATCGCCTCCTCTTCCTCCGTCCTCCTCCGAGACACGCGAGGCACCTCCGTGACCTGGGCCTTTCGCTTCCCTTGTCCCCGCGGCATCCTCAGGACCGCCCGGGCCAGCGCCCGGAGCACCGTGGCTGCGAGCGGCGCTGCGAGAGAAAACGAGACCGTGCTGCACTTCCGAGAGGAAACGAGACCCTGCTGAGCTTTCCCGCTTCCTTGCGCATCCCAGTCCGCCCCCAGAGCCCGGGGGATGCTGGTCCCCTGCCCATCCTGGTCCTCGGGCACGGGGGGTAACGGTGCCCTGCCCGTTCCGTTTACCGATCCGATCCGCTCCTGGTCCCCGATCCCCGGGTAGGGGTCCCGATCCCGACCCCGATCCCGAGCCCGACCCCGATCCCGAGCCCGACCCCGACCCCGATCCCTACCCGGCACCACGTGGTCCTCCCAGTGTTACACAAGCTGTGGGCGTGTGTAAAGGGCGTGGTCATGGGTGTGGCCTCGTGCAGGGAGGGGCGTGCCCCCAGCGCCTGGGACCGCCCCCCGCCCCCGGGCGCAGGTGCTGCCCTGATGTCCCCGACGCGCCCACGGCGCTGCACCTGTTCGGGAGGGGGGACAGTGCCCGCTGGTGCCTCCCCTCCCTGCCCCCGGGAACGAGGAAGCAGCTCCAGCCACCTTCAACCATCACTCGGCAGCGCAGTTCCCCACTAGCACCATCCTACGCACTGTGTCCTCAGGTCCACACCTTGCAAGGCATGGGGGTGCTGGTTTTGGACATGTCTGGGGGGACAGGAGGGCTGCCCGTGCTGCTGCTGAGCCTTGCTGTGCTGGATCTTATGCTGGGTAAGGGCTGAACGGTATGTGGTGGTGTCTGGAGTGCATGGGGAGGGGAGAGCATCAGTCTCCAGAGTGGTGGGTGGCCCTGTAGTGGCTTCAGCCACAGAGGTGAAACACTGGGTATTGTTTGCTCTCCAACATCTCAGCTCTATCCTAGTGAGTGAACAGGGCAGCGCTTTGCAAAACATGAGCGACGAGCTTGGCTTTATTTCTTTTGCCTCTCATGTGGGTCTCCATCTGGGCAGAGAAGACCTTGGACCCAGCCGGACCCCCTTGCTGAACCTTGGTCCATGCTAGGCTCACTGCCTTTGCTACAACCTGCTCAGCAGCACCAAACAGCCCTGCCTGGATGGCAACATCACCAGGATGTACTGGGCCTGGAAAACTTCAAATGCCACCCAACGCTGGCACTTGACACAAAGCAAGAGCAGTGTTGAGTTGAGCCCAGGGAATAAACCTGAGGTTTGTACCTCCTGGGGTAAACCTGAGGCTTGTACCTTCTGAGACCCTCAAGCTACAGCCATAGGTCCCTTCCTGCTGCATCCCTCAACCCCATCACAGAGGTTTTGTGGGTCGCAGCAGGTCTCTCATGGACTTGCCCTGAGCTGCAAGCTGGGATTTGTTCCTTTGTAGGGCTTCTTCCCCTGTTGCCATTATTTACACCCAGTGCTATCAGTTCCTGACTATCTGCAGCAGAGAGGTTTGTGTAAACGCTGCTGCATTTCCAGACTGTCTCACGGTCACCAGTTCCTGCTCGGCTCTTCCTGTCAGACGGGTTTGTCTGACTTCCTTCAGGGATGGGTGAAGGTGGTGGAATGGGTCTCAGGACTGGCACCTACAGGAGTTTCTGCCCTGGCACCGGTGATGCCCATGGCTTGTTCCTACTTTGTCAGGCTGGGGGTTTACGTGGTTTGCCTTGCTGATGGTCACGCTGCCATTCAGGGAATCCACGTGTTTGATCCATGCAGGGTGGAAAGTCCCCAGTCCTGACAATCCATGACTGATGCAAGGCTTGGGCAGCTCATGGCGGTGGTAATGTTGCACCATCCCCAGCAGAGTCACGATCTCAGCCTTTCACTGCCAGCCCTTGTGTGCTGTCTGCCACCTCTTTGCAGGGACCACTGTCAAAGACATGACAATCCCTGCATCCCTGACTCTCCTTACGTGCTTGACACCCACAGAGACCATGGCACTGCCGCCCAACACCAGCTCAAGCACTGCAGCCACCCTCCCTCCCTCCAGTCCTGCAACCTCCACCCCAGAGGTGCCAATGGATGCCTTCACACCCAGTGCTGCTGCACCTCAGGGGAGCAGCCTGGAAGCCTCCAGCATCACCACAGCACAGGAGAGGGGCAGCACAGCCCACAGCACTACTGGATCACCTAGGCTGGGGCTCACCACTGGCACGCCAACAGGGGTGGGGCTCACCACCAGCACCCCAACTTCAACCTCCATGGCCATAACACCCAACTGTCCCAAGGCAACCAATGTCACGTCCGTGGGGACCAGCACAGCCCTGGCTTTGAGCTCATTTGGAGCTGAAATGAGCACACTGCCTCCCCCCACATCTACTCTTGTCTCCTCCACCTGGGTGGGCACCACACTTGGCACCAGCACCCACCAAGGGCCAGCCATGACCACGCTGCTTGGCAGCACATCCCCAGGAAGTGCCAGCACCTCTTCTCCCACCACACCAGCACTGACAGACACTTCAAACAAGCCCTTGACAACCCCATCAGACACCACAGCCTCCCTCATTACTAGCACAGTGGCCACCAAGAGCACCCCTGCCCCCAGCCAGCCAGTCGGGACCACGGCCAGGACCACCCTTGGTACCTCCACCCTGACAGCACCCGAGACCACCAGTGCCACTGCAGGTGAGTGCAGCCATGGGGCACCTGGGGGGCAGGATGAGGTGACAAATCCCCATGGGATCTCCCATCCTGCTCAGCCAGGCCCCTGGCTCCTTCCCCACAGCCCAGCCCATGGCCTGGCTCCAGCCCTGTGGGGGCTGCCTGGTCTCTAGGCTCTTCAGGCAGTGGATGGTCCTATGCTGGACTGTGACTGTGCCTTGGTGGGACTGTGCCTAGCAGTGTGACTGTACCATGGTCTGACAGTTCCTGATGGTGTGGCTGTACTGCAATTGTGCAGCTGCGCTGTGGCTGTACCTCAGTGGTGTGGCTGTACTGCAGCAGTGTGGCTGTACTGTGGCTGTGCCATGGCTGTGTGGCTGTGCCCCTGGCAGTGAGCCTGCACCTTGTCAGTGAGACTGTATGTACCCTGTACCTCAAGGAATGGGCCTGTACCCCAGCAGTCCCCTTACCATGGGACTTCAAATGTGCCCTGGTGACACCCCACTCCATGCACGTCAACCAGAGCAGGGAGACTGTGCCCTATCCCAGTACCCCTGGCTGTGCACAGTACCACGATGTCCCTGGTGTCCCTGTACCCCGGCAGAGCAACTGTGTCCTCACAGAGTACCTGCACCCTGGCCTAATGCCCACAGTGTGAGAGCACCTCATCAGAGTGCCTGTACTCTGGTGATGGCCTCTGTGTGCCTGTGCCCCAGCAGTGCCCCCATGTACCTGTACAGCAGCAGGGCAGATGTGCTCTGACAATCCTCCAGCATGCCTTGCCTTCCTGCCTGCGGAATGCCTGTACCTGGCCCAGTGCCTGCAGGCGCCTCCGACTGGTCTTGTCCCTGACCCTGAGAAGAAGGAAGCTCCAGCTGTGAGCAGTACACTTGAGCCGTGATACGCTGTGACACGGGGAAGTGATGCCTGTACAGACAGCCCAGGGGACAAACCCTCAGCCTGGAGCACGCCCTTCCTGAGTGCTGCCTGTTCTCTCGGCCAGTTCCTCACGCTCAGGCAGAGCTGGCTGTTGTCTCCTGAGGGCGTTGGTGCTGGGAGCCACCACCAAACATCACCCCTGTGGTGAAGCGCAGGGACGGTTCCAGGTAGCCTAGCTACTTCCCTGGATTTTTTTCCATTGTCACGCTCTCCTCAGCAGGCAGAGGACGGCACAGACCTGGGCTGCAGGGACCAGGTCTGTCGTAGTGGTGGCCTTGCTGGCCTGCCCTGCCCACTGCTCGTGGCTGCTCTGGGTCCAGCCGTGCAGTTGATGTCTGACCTGGAAACCCCAGTGCTGGGGCTGTGGGGAGCACTCAGAGCTGTGCCTGCGGGGTGTAACAGTTCCTGCTCACCTGGACATGGCTGGGCAGAGAGAGGGGCTGCCCCTGCTCTTGCCCCTGCTGCTGCTGCTGTTGCTGAGCCTCACCTGCCTCGCCGTGCTGCACCTTGCTCTGGGTAAGGGCTGAGTGGGATGTGGTGCTCTCCATGGGGTGGGTTGTGAGTGGGGAGCATCATTCCCCAGGGTGGTGAGGAATGATCCTGCATCTGTGGGGTGGGGGGGGGTGAAATGCTGCGGGTGCTGTTTGATAAATGGGAAGCAGAGATGGACTTCTGGCTTCTCCTTTGTGTGAGGATGAGGCCCTTCAGTGCAGACACTCACCTGGTGTAGGCTGGGATCAGACCTTTGCCCTTCTCTACATTGTTATTTAAGCAGCTGCTGTGTGCAGGGAGGGAGTGGCTGCCGGGGGCTTTGGAAGTTTCTGGCTGGGTTGGCTGAAAGCAGATGGCGGCTTGTGGCTCCGTTTCCCGTTCTCATGTAAGCAGAGCCCCAGACTCACTGTGTTTCTGCTGGGAACACTGGGGAATGCAGTCTGGCGTCCCAAAGCCGCCACCTCACAGACACCCCTTGACAAAGGGTCAGGCAGCCAGACTGTTCTGTGCATCCTTTGGAGAAGGTTACAGATCCCTGGGCTTTGCCTGGGGACAGCACACTGCCCTGGCACAGGGTCTGGGTGGGAAGAGAGGATGTCCCTCCTCTGTCTCACAACCCCCTGGCAGTTTCGTGGGTCACAGCACGTCTCTAACGGCTCGCCCTGAGCTGCAAGCTGGGATTTGTTCCTTTGTGGGGCTGCTTCCCCTGTTGCCATTATTTACACCCACTGCTATCAGTTCCTGACTATCTGCAGCAGAGAGGTTTGTGTAAACTGCTGCTGCTGCATTTCCAGACTGTCTCACGGTCACCAGTTCCTGCTCGGCTCTTCCTGTCAGACGGGTTTGTCTGACTTCCTTCAGGGATGGGTGAAAGTGATGGAATGGGTCTTAGGACTGGCACCTGCAGGAGTTTCTGCCCTGAGATTGGTGATGCCCATGGCTTGTTCCTACTTTGACAGGCTGGGGATTTACATGGCTGGCCTTGCAGATGCCCATTCAGGGAATCCACGTGTTTGATCCATGCAGGATGGTGAATTTCCATTCCCAATGGTCCATGGCTGATGTGTAGCTTTGATTTCCTTGGGGACCTCATGGTGGTGGTGATGCTGTGCCATCCCCAGAACAGCCATGGCCTCAGCCTTTTACCACCAACCCTTGTGCATCTCATTGTCCAACCTCTTTGCAGAGACAACTGCCATGGGTGTGACAGCAGCCACGTCCCCATCTCCCCCCACCTCCTCAATATCTATGGAGACCTCTGCACAGCTGCCCACCACTGACTCCACCACTGCAGCCACCCTCTCTCCCTCCAGCCCTGAAACAGAAGCTTCCACCCCAGAGAGGTCCAGCACATCCCCAGGGACTGGCAGCACCCCAACTCCCACCACGCCTCCTCCCACCACAACAACAGCTACTTCATCTGAGCCCTTGACAACCCTGGCAAACACCACGGCCAGCCCTGTTATCAGCACGGAGGTCCCCCTGAGCACCCCCTCTCCCAGCCACCCGGCCAGGACCACATCCAGGACTACCCCTGGCATCTTCCCCCCAACTATGGAGTCGACTCCAGGTACCCTGCCAGTATCTGGGACCCCCAGTGCAGCCATGGGTGGGTTCCCTATGGGAAGGTAGGGACACTTTCACGGGGACAAATCCTCACAGGGATTCTGGGCATGTCCTTGGGTGGCTTCATGTATGTGTCTTTGCTTAGGCTTGGTCTGTCCCCAGCTGCAGGAGCATTCTGCACCTCTGCAGAGAGTACTAACGTAACATTGCTTTGCGCAGGCATTGAGTTCTCTTTCCCCACCACGAACTCGACCCAGACCTCAGAGGTTACCCACAGCACCTCTGCAGACCTGCCAATGCCGCCACCCGTCTGCCCCACTGGCTCATCCAACACCAGTAAGTGCAGTGCCTGTGGGCATCACCACCCACCCATTGTAGTTTTGGACTGCCACAGCCTAGTGCGGGGGGTCCTGGAACCCCACTGCTTTTGCCATGTTCTCAGTGATGCTCTGGGGAATGTGCTCTGGGTTTGCTGTACAGTGGGAGGGTTGTTCTCCTGACAGTGTAGAGTGTCCATGACACAATTAACCTGGGAGGAGGTCCCGTGTCTGTGCCAGCAATCTGATGGAAAGACCCCCAGGTTCTTTGTTGCAATCCAAGGTTCAAGGGCAATAACCAGAGCCACATTTTTTGTCCCTAGGTGCATCTCGCCTCTTCCTGTCTCTGCGGCTAAGCACCCCCCTGGACCTGGGGAACAGCACAGTGCAGGAGCTGGTGTTGTCCAAGGTAAGGTGTGTGGGAGGAGATGCCATTTTGCATCTGCCAGCCATGGTCCAGGCAGTCAGGGAAGGGTCAGGCAGCCAGTGGGAGGAGAATGGCTGGGTCTTGCATTGATTGTCACCCGTAGCCCTTTTGGATGAAGGGGAGACCCTCTAGCTGACACACTTTGGGATCAGGCCCTTTCAAGGTGGGGACAGGGGGGTAGGAAACCCCCTCTGGCATGGTTTGATGGCTGTTCTTTCCCCACAGCTCCGTAAGAACCTTCAGACGGCATTCCCGTGCGCTGGCCTGTCATTGGAATGGCGAGGGAAGAGGAGCCCTTGACCACTGCCCCTCGCCCTGCCAGCTCCCACATGTACTGGCAAGCCATCTGCTCCTGGCTCCTTACTCCATGGCAGTGCAGCCCCTTGGGGTAACCTGCACAGCTCCTCTTGAACTTGGGGCTCCCTGTCCTTCCCTGTGCACCCCCAGTGCCCCCCGTGGGCTGCGGTGCCCCTGCCCCTTCCCACAGCCTGTCTGTAAAGCCCAAGACCTCCCACCACCCTGCTCCAGACCTGGCTCCTGTGGTGTGACCCCTTCCAGCGCTGACAGGGGGCTGGAAGGAGAGGATCCTGCGGGACTGGGCTTTTACAGCTGGGACTGTGCTGGCTCAGCCATAAAAGCCACCCTGGGGACTGATGGATGAGAGGAAGGAGACCTGGAGCCCCCAGTACTGCTGTGCCCAAGGCTCACCTGGGGTATTGCTGACAGAGGAGCACGCCCATGCCAACACGGGCCAGGCAGTAAATAGAAACTCCATGCTTTCTGTGTTGAAGTTGATGACTTCTTTATTTTCCAAGTTGCCTTTCACAATTTTCAGCTTTGCCATCTGTTAGAGGTACAGGAGAGGAAAACCACCCGAGTCTCAAAAGCTTCGCATGGAGAGACAGGCTCAGGGCTGTCCCCTCCTGGCAGGGGTGGCCATAGACATTCCCGAGGATGGCTGGGAACTCCAGCAGACGGGGGTCCCTGCTTTGGTGCTCTCTGCCCCATGGCACCCCACAGCTGCTGGGGCAGTTCTACACACCACGGGGCCGTGGAAATCCTGTGGGCTGTGCTCCTTCCCTGTTTTTTTCCAGTCCCCAGCTAAGGAGATGGCCGCAACATCTGTCCCCCTGCAGCAAAGTCATTTATTAACTGATTAATTAGCCAGATAAAATCCAACTGAAGCAATTATTAGCCTAAGCAAGTCACCTCGCCTGGAGATTGAAAACTGAAATAATTAGAAAATAGCCTTGTTGCGTGTCAGGGATTGTTTTTGGCTGATCCCTATTCCTCACTGGCAGCCCTCACTGCCCCAGCACAGGGAGGGCTGGGAAGGGGTGCATGAGGCTGAGGGATGCCAAATATGGGGACTACTCCCAGGCTGCCTGGGTTGTCAACCATCTGGGAAGGAACCAGCAGCTGGACAGGATAGGGAAAGACTCCATGGGATCACCTGGCTACCTGCCAGCTCTCAGGGGCTGGGAGAGGCTGGGCTGGGGCTGGAGGCCTGTGCCCAGGCAGCTTGCATCCCAGGGTTGCCCCTTTGCTCTTTAGGACGCTGCCTGTCTTTTGTGGGCTTGTCGGACTCACTGACACCGAGAGAGGTCCCTTGGCACCCGGGCAGGGAGCTGGGGAGTAGGGCAAAACCTGCCAGAAGGGGTCCCCGTGCTGGATGCCTGATGGGGTGCTGGGAAAGAAATCCTTGTGGTCTGCCTACGCCGTGGAGCTGGGCCAAGAGTCCTCCCACGTCGTGTCCCACCGGGCTGTTTTCTCCGGCTGTTGAATCCATAACTTCAGACCCCGGGACATGGCTGGGTGCCAAAGCCGGCGTAGTGGAGCCAAACTGCGTCACAAAGGGAGGAAAAGGTCCTGAAGCGTTGGGATGAAAAGGTGACTGGGGTACTCACTGTCCTCTGCCAGCATGGCTGCCTTCCACCGTTATCGTGGTCGGGGGGCAGTGAGGGGAGGAGATGTTCTGGTCCCCTCTGCCCCCAGCCTGGGAGGGAGAAGAGGGACACAGTGGGGACATGTGGCTCGTGTGGGGGTGGTGGTCACTGCCCAGGCACTGGCAGCAGAGACCTCTGGCAAGCCCCTGACACTACCCATGTTCTCCATGCCTGCCATCCTTGAGGATGCTGGCTGCCACTTTCACCCCGTGGCTGCTTGCCTGCCATGGATCTCTGACCAGAGGGGCCTTGGGAGGTTGTATCCAGGTCCTGCTGCTTTCCCAGCCCACAAATCAGTTCTCACCATCTTTGCTGTGATCCACTGCCATCTACCAGCATTTTCCCAAGGAGCAGACCCAGTGCCCAGCAGGACTGTCCCCTTCAGAGGGCCTGGCAGCATCATGGAGTGCCTATCTCCCTTGTAACTCAGATGTCCCTTCCAGTGTCCCCCTCCCCTTCAACCCTGCCGATGGCTATAGCCCAGCTCCTGCTGTTTGGCAGGAGGGTGTTGCAACACACCCAGCATGCCAAGTCATCCAGAACCTGCGGAGTTGATGGATAACCTGGTTTCCCCCACTACCACCCTGAGCCCTCTCCAAATGCCCTTGCCAGGAGGCTAGAGGGGATCCAGTAGGAGATGCTGTGTTCTCTACAAAGCTGGAACAACCAGCCCATTAATTTCAGAAAGGCTGATAAGGCACTGTGCTGGGCCATGCTCTGCTGTGCTGGAAGGTGTAGAGCCCCTGGGTGCTGGGATTCATAGAATTGCCCCATGGCTACAGGCTCCCGAAGGGCTCCAGTGCCCACATGATGCTTTGGTCCTTGGTAACTGCTGATGAAAGTTATTCTTTCAGGAATCAGCGCTTCGTCAGGACATTTGTTTCAGGAGTAGCAGAAGGATCATTAAAAAGCCCCTTCCCAGGGTGGGAGCTGGACACCATCCTTGAGACAAGGCATCCCTCAGTGGCTGCAGGCTTTCTTGGGAGGGTGTACCAATCAATGCCAGAGCAGAGGGACAAATTTGGTGTGTCATCCCCGTGATTCTGCTGGGAGATGAGTTTTCTTGGAGACAGCATGAGCAGGAGTTGGAGGTTTGAGGGTCTCCAGGCAGAGCTGGCTCGGGGAGCATGGACAGGAGCTTGCAGGAGGGCTGAGGCTACCACCTTGCTTCAGCCAAGTTGCTTTCCCCTATGCTGAGCAGCACGTTTGCAACAATCCCTGTGGTTCCCACCACATTTTGCACCTCAAACACCATCTGGAGCAACCTTCTCCAGCGTCAGCATATATTCCCTGTTGGGGTGGCTTTCCAAAGTGATATGGCATTGTCAGCACAGGCAGGAACAACTCTCCCACGGTAGGTTTGTATCCCTCTAATCCTCCATCAGTCCAGGTGTGGTGGCTGCTCAGGTGGTCACTGGCTGGGCAGTCACCCCGTGATCTGCAGTGCTGGTTGCACAGGCCCCCAGTGCACTGTTCCCCGCTGGCTTTACCCCCACACCGGCATTTTCGGTGGGCAGGGGAACATTTGTTCCAGGTGAGCGGCACTCTCCCCGATTTACTGTCTGTGCCCAGTTCCCACTGCCAGGGGTAATGCGTGGGTTTACAGGATGGTGCTTCACCAGCCGTGACTTGGCCTCCCCTGGCATTTCCCTGTCGACTCTGCCTAGTTGTTGGGTTGGGGGTGTCCCTCAACGTGCCCAGCCACTGCTGCCTGCCCAACGGAGGCCAGCTCCAGTGGGACACTCTGTACTGCCTAACACCCCTCATAACACTTTGCAGGAGTTGCCTGGGGGCATTTCTGGTTAAGAAGTGTTTAATTGACTACAGAACCATGTAGTGGTGGAAGTTTGCATAATGCTGTTCATGAGGGAGCTGGCAGCAGTTTTCACGGAGGGGGAATGTGCAAGAATTGCTGCTTCAGGAGAAGGAGGAAGGAGAAATATAGGGGTGAAGTGACCCGGGGGATCAAGGTGAAGTGACCCAGGGATTCCCCATAGCAGGGAAGGGGGTCCAGGCCTGCGACTTTTCCTGCTCTAGCTTCTGGGGATGCTGGTCCCACCTTGCAGAGAAGCTTTCCTGGATAATTTGCCCCCTCCCAGCACCCCAGCACTGCTGTGCCCATACTGAAGTGCAGGTTTCAAACCCCACTGGGACGTGCTGGAGCTCTGGACAGGGATCTCTAGTGCTTCCAGTTGCAGCTGAGCACTGAGAGCTCAGCTGATGCTCCAGAGCCTGTCCCCAGCCATACATCCCTGCTTTATAACCTGAGTCTGCTCCCAGAAAAGCTTTGAGCCAAGTGGGCTCTTGCGTCTTGCCTTGCCCTCGGCTGAGACATGGCTCAGCGGGTGATTTGAGTGCCCATGGTGTCCTCACAGGCATGGTAGCACCAGCTGGCATTGCTGTCACCACCACACACTCTGTGGCCCCCTACCCTGAATGGAGCAGGTTCCTGTGGGGTCCATGGGGTGGCTGCCATGCCACTGTTGGCAGTACCACACCCTGTTCTGGGCTCAGCTTCACCTCCTGGTGCTGGTGGACCAGGGAGCTGGGTCCTGCAGGGTGGTCTTTGGGTAACCCCCAGCCCATGCCACAACTGAACAGGGCATCCAGACCTTGGGAAGGGGAGGGCTCGACCGGAAGGGAATGGTGACAGGGACGTTGGAGGGAAGGGACCGGGGGCGGGAGAGGACGTCGGCAACCTGCCTCCTTCTGCCATCCCTATAAATAGGAGGGAACAGGAGCAGGAACACCTGTGGGACTCCAGCTCTGCAGGAGAGGCAGGCAGGGAGAGACAGAGGGAGCTGCTCCTTGCTTCTCTCTCCTCCCTTTGAGTTTCCTAGTGCTCTGCCTGTGTGGGGGCCTGAGGAATGGGGACTAGGGGATGGACGCTCTCCACCTTCCTGGGATGCTGCGTATGGATTCTGCATGGTATGTCCAATATTTTTGTGCTAGCTCATGTGCTACCTGAGCTCTGTTAGGGTGCAGCAGGCACACCGTGAGATGCTTTTCCCTCCTGGCTGCACTGGAAAGTCCTTGCAATAGACTGCAGCCAAGGAGCTGGAAAAGTGTTTTACGGGGCAGGCATCACCCCGAGGGGCTGGTTGCAGGCGCGGAGCCGTGGGAGAGGTGAGAGCCCAGCCCGGAAACCTGCAGGCAGCCGTGTACCCCTCCAGCAAGGGAAGCGAGCCGGCAGAGCAGGACCCGGGGATGTTCCCATCCCTCCCACGTCCCAGGAAAGAGCAAATGCTGGTGTTCCATGCTGGGGCCCCTCTTGCACTGACTTCCCATGAATGGGTGGTGTGGGGTAGATGGTGTTTCCTGCTCCACACGGAAGTATTAAGATAAAACACGGATTTGCTGGAGTAGAGTGTGCCAAATTAACCTGGGGGGACTTCACTGATGTGCTTTGTTTTCCCTGAGATGGGGACAGAAGCAGCTGAGCTCCTCTGGCTGAGTGGGCTGGTGTAAAGAGCTTATTTCAGCTGGGAGAGATGGTGAGGAAGCAGCCTGCCAGGAAAGGGAACGGGGCTCTGGAAGAGGATGGACCCCTTGAGGACTGGTCTGGCATAGGAGATAATGCTCATTAATGACTCTGCACAAGCTATCTGTAAGCTAATGAGCTGAGCCGGTGGTGAGGTTGGAGGCACCTCCGCTGCAGGGAGTTCTGGCTGCCTGTCAGGGGGAACCTGATGAACCGGAGCACCAGGGTGGGGAGCAGGCTGGGGCTGTCGGGTGGTGGCGAAGCCCTGGCAGGTCTTGCCATCGAGGTGCCCTTCATCTCCCCTAATTGCAGCTGCCTAAAGCCAAGTGTCAGCAGATCCACCCAGCTCCTCCTGGAGCCAGC